TGACAACTGTGACATGACAGGCTGGGGCTTTAAAGATTTGAAGAATGAAATTCCAATAGATGAAATCATAGAACCAGTATCTATCAAAGCTATAGTAGAAGTACCATTTATAAGAATTTCAGATTCATTAGAAGAGCCAACTAGAGGAAATGTATAAGCAGGGTCATTAGAAGGGGAAGTATGACCTCTCATCTGCCCTGCGATGGAGGTCGACTGTAGTTTAAAGGACTGGCAGAGGCTTTGACATCCTGAGTGGAAGATCTCTCTTGTTTCAAGCCCTTGAGTTCCTTCTCCATACTAGACAGCCTGGACTCCATGCCTTCCATCTGCTTAGAAAGGGCCCTTATTTCCTGGAGAAGTCTACTATCTACAGTAGTGACACACTGCTGTGCAGGAACAGACTCATTAGGAGTATTAGAAGTAGTAACAGAAATATTGGCCTGAGGGGCTGCCTGCTTAGAGGAAAGAGGGAGAGAAGTGGCTAATCTGGACAAGCGCAAGTCTTCCTCAATGGCTCTCAACTCTTTACGAAGAGTATTGAAGTTGAGGTCCTTCTGAAAAAGAAATCTAGAGGCATTCTTAAGCTCTATATCACGAAGGCCTGACCACAACCTACCCCGCAGCATCTCATCCTTGGACAACCTATCAAGATTGCATGGTATCCTGCTAAGCAACCTCTCCAGACGCAAACTATAGTCAGCAACAGACTCATCCACCTTCTGCTGTTCATTATAAAACTGTTCCTTCAACCTTTCAGTTGAATGAACATTACCATAAATGCCATCTAACTCATTCAAGATCTCGGGAACAGTGGCATTTTCACCTAAATGCAAAAGAACACCTCTGGCACTGCCTTTCAAAGATTTACGAATGGCCTCCCTGATAATAAATGGTGGATAATTACCCTCATCAATGACACAATTGACATCATAGCGCCATATCTCGAACATTGACGAGTTGTATTTCCCATCTCCTGAAAAAGAAGGTAACTCAGGGATACGGGCATGAGCCAAGTCCCTATTTGTCACAAAAGACAAGTATGGTTGAGGGTTAGGCATGGGTGGAGGAATGCTATAAACAGGTGGAGGAAAGTGAACCTGATGTGTACCTGTTCTGCTGATATGTTCCCGTATAGGAGTAGGTGTAACATTAAATGTATGACTTGAGTGTACTGTATGAGGTGTACTTGCCATTGCATTAACTTGAAACTTACCAGATTTCTGTAACTGTCTAGCAAAAAATTCCAGATCTGCATCTGAATAGTCTAAGGACTGAGTTGTACCATCCGCCATGATGAGAAAACAAACAAAAAATGGATTGGACCAAAAAAAAATGAACGTGACTTAAAATTCAGGATTTCAAATGGCCCAAATTGTACACCATACACTAAAAAAAAAAGATTTACATCAGTTACCAGTTTAGGTCTATATAGATGTAATAAAAAACAAACAATAGAAATAAAACAATTTTATTTCAAAAGAAAAAAACACAAAGACTTGAAAATAATCAATCAACTTTATTCAAATTATGACCCACACGGTGCACCATACATTACACAAAATTTCAAGGTCACCTGAATAATATATGTACTAGATACAGTCAGTAAATTAGATCAAAGTTTGTAAAACAATAGATCTAATAACACTGATATTCAGTCTCTATTATAAAGCAGTATTAAATTCAACTGAATAATATTCAGTGCTTAACTTACTAAATAAATAACTTATTACAGACACCTAAAATTGTCAAGTTACAGGTAACAAGTCTAAAAAATTGTATTGTGAAATGCACAGACACTTGTTCAGTTACTTGCTATAGTGTATAAATTTCAACTAATTTATGGTAATTGCAAGTGACACACAGACTTGTGAAATTATATGCTGGAATTCTTTATTGCAACAATGTTCAGTCCAGTACTCTATACAATATCAGAAAAAAAATCCCAAAGACCTAACTTACATGTATATAGATTATCTATAAATTTCCTTGCAGGCACAGACTCAACTTAATACAAGTACACACAAAGCTAACCGGAATAAATAAATGTGTAAAGTTTCCTTTCTTCTGATCTAGACAATTATTTCAATGCAAAATGTTTAATTTTCAGCTCATAAAGTAAAATAATATGCCTATCAACAGACTTTTTATAATGAATAAATGAGTAGAACCCAAATTATCAATTTTTCAACTGTGATACAGTAGCAACAATTGATTTGCTATTTGTATATATGTTAGATTCTTGTAAATATAGAATAATTCTATATAAGAAAATATATTACCACTTACACAAAACACTTCACTATTCAAAAATGAAGAAGAAGTTTAGTGTCGGTTCTCACAAACTGTGTATAAAAATAACCAGATTTAAAAATGAACAATTTATTCTAATTAAAGAATAAATATTTCACTTCAAATCTATTTACCGGCTACATGATACCGTCACAGTATTCACAATAAATTGCTGTTTTAAGTTTACAGAATTTTAAATATAACTGATTTTAACTGCCCGGGTTGAACAATTTATTCTAACTAAAGAATAAATATTTCAAACCTACTTGTATACTTTATTTATATTTACTCACAAGTCAACTACAATGATCTGTTCCTACAATAAATGCTAAACTATTCAATCTACATGCTTACTTCAGGCAAAATTCTGGTTCAAGCAAGTCCTGCTTTAAATAAATAATAATAATAAAGATAGGTACAGTAATTAAGTAATCAGGTACAATAAGTTATCAGGATAGGCTATGAAATAAGTCAGCTGTTGGATATAAACAATATCTGGGGTAATATAGGATTTATTACAGTAAATGGACAATACCAGACTGGATGGAAATAATTTCAAATAGGGACAGGTGTAATATACTAGTTATTCAGACCAAGATGAAAGATAAAAGAGACAGAGTGTTAGCTCACCAACCACCTGATAGTTATATGCTGTGTCTACATGTCTGTGAACTGTGTTATCTTCAAAAAGCCAGCAACAGGATAAAAATCAATGTCACAGAAGCCTGAAGTACAAGGCTTTGTGGAATTCAACCTAAAATATACAAAATCAAATAATTGACCTTTTCGAAAACCTAGCTAAACACCGTTTTCCGGTACGTTACCGTTTTAGCTCTGGGGAATTACATCAAATGAAGTACATAACACAGTTACGTGATATTTCGATTTTTCTATCATTATTTAACCGTTTAAGGTGAAAAAATTGATGTTTTTGAAAATTATCAATATTCCTTTAATATCTATTCCAAATTATTCAAAAAAATAAACTGTTTATTATGAAAATCAATAAAATTCAAACAGACGTAGTGGAATCTTCCATAATAAATAAGGTTATTTTGTGCGTTAACTTGTGTATTTACTTTATTTTTTGTATGGAATTATTCATACAATGATATCTAATTATTTTCTTATAAAGAAATAATTACTTTATTTCAATTTGATTTTAAAAAAGGCCGAAAACATCGAGTTCGCTATTACACTCCATTGGGTGAATTCCCCAGAGCTATGTACAGAAAGTACCGGAAAACGGCGTTTAGCTAGGTTTTCGAATTCGTGAATAATATACATGTATATCTATGGTTCAAAACAAAAATTAATTTTCACATGTAGATCTTAATCAAGATTTTACACCAGTCAAAATATATAAATGAAAAAATCAACCCAGATCTACATTTTACAATATAACTATGAAATGGCACTTGATACTAATTGAAAAAGACACTTATCCAAAATATGTAAACACTGAATAATTTTAGCTGTTAAAAGAATTTACACTGTTTGTTTACAAAGGTTCTAAGTCCACAAATATATAGTTGTCGTCTAAATGGTCCGAAGAAGTGAATGATCCAACGTTGATATATAAATAACAATAGGTACCTTTAATTAATTAAATGTTAGAGCTCTTTAAAATATAGAAAAATAACTAGCTAGTTGAACTTTTGTTTGTTTTCATGAAATTCCTTAGGAGTACCCGGTCACCGGAAGTAAATAAGAAATATATAAGCCGTTCTGATTGGCTGGAGTCGGGAATTCCCTACGTCACCCTCTGTGTTCGCAGTTTCGTCACCAATATATTCGTACCACAAAAAATACCAATCCAAACATAAAAATCCACACTGGCCACCAATGTCGTATGGTCCTTTTTCAAATGTAGGAATGGTCTGTTTATGCCTGTAAGGACATAAACATACGCCTTGATAAATAAATAAATAAACAAGACAACAATTTCTGGCGCAAACCAATAGAAATATTTATATCAAAGTGCATAAATACAGTTCCGAAATACATAAACGATCAATAGAAAGATGCATCATAATGAAACATAATGATTAAGAACAATTACATGTGAAGGACATAATACAAACGCCTTGATAATTTAATAAGGAGACAAACAATTTCTGGCGTAAACTTAGAAATATATTTATATCAAAGTGCGCATGCATAAGATGTTTTTTCCCGGAAGTTTGTAAAAACTAAGGCCCGGCATGATAGTTATGCCGAAATGAAATATAAGTAATTAGTTGTTATAATGAAAAGATGATGAAATGGAATGATATAGGAATGATATGGGATAATGGAGTGTATATCGGACTGTAAACAGACAAATACAAGAGATATATATACAAATACAAGGACAAAATGATACATAAAAACGATATTCAAAAACACGAATATCGACCACATGACGTCAGAGATGACAAGAGTCAAACTAGGTATAACTTTTCACTACAAGTGATTTGATCATTTAAATGACATAAAAGTAAAACATCAAGTAATTTTCAAAACTTTTATTTAATTTTTAATTATATATTTTTTGTTTTATGATGACCTTTTTCATGGCCTGAACATAGCAACATAATTAATTTGTTTACACATTTACCATTTTAAAGTGCATTGATGAGCTAACCAATTAAAAAGTAGGGATAGGTCAGCCAATAAATCTATACTATCTAAGATTTATACAGTTGGTTGTTTTATTTTAGATAATTTCATACCGATATTGCATAACGTACTATGTACAGATTCACATTTCAACTGCTTGGGGCAAAAGGGTTGTAACTTCATCTTTATGTCATATGGGTGACAACCCTTTTGCACTAAGCCCTCGATTTTTCCCCTTACGCAGCTGGGAGAGAGAGAGCCATTAGCCCCTGCAACCAGTATACATCCAGACTAGCCTGATCAGTCTGACCATGTTCTTTACTGTTGGATGACTTCAAATTTTCATTTAAATATCCCTAAAACTTAAATTACACAATTCAAAAATGTTCTTACAAGAAATTCAGTAGATTATATCACAAAACCTGTAAGATAACAGGTAAAAATAAAAATTCATGATCACATACATGATATAAAAATAAAGTTATTAAATCTGCATTCATGTTCTTCAGTTTTATCAATTATATATTCATTTAATTTAAGAAAAGTTTTGCAGTTAAAATAATTTCCCTATCTTGTTTTGATTTTCAATTCAACTTTCACAATTGTATGCATAAAATCTTATTTTTTTTCTCTAACTTTTGTATTACAGAGAATGATATAATCATGTATTCTTTTTATACTGTCTTATACATTTAACCGGACATCAATCAGTATACTTGTAGATGCCGGACTTACTTCTGCATTTAAACTAAAAACAGCTGTACAATCTTTTAATACATATGGCTTCATATGGCTTATATATTTCAGCATAGAACACATCATCCTCTCTAGTCAATTTTCCTTATCACACTCTTAACACTATAGTCTCTAAACCACTGACTGTTTAGCACCATTTACATTTTTCTATGTTCCAGTCTCCATGACCGGCATGTTTGATTCCTCAACACTCATTTTACTGCTTGTTTGTTTTTATTCCAAGGAAACTATGAGACAGTATTGACACAGATAATTTTTATTGAATGTCCATAAATTGTATATCAGTCTGTAATAAGATATGTTTAGGTAAAGGATGAGGTGCAGGTGATAAAACTGTAAATGAAAGCTTCTCTGGATGAAACTCAGTACTGTAAATATACAAACAAAGATACCAATACAAAAACACTATACATACACATGAAATACAATAATTGCTTTGTTTTATTTTTCGATCGGTTAGAAAGAAACAGTGTTATTGTGACATCCATAGGACAGTAGTCTGGAGCAAAAAATTAGGTCCCCAAAAGAAGTTTGATCAAACAAATATGGTGTCTTGCAAACTTAACTGTATTTTGAATTGTAATAGCTGGCAAGTCCCTTCATGAAATATGTCAGACAAAAATGAGCATCAAATTGGAAGCAAAAACCTTCTATAAGTTAAAATTTCTTTATATGAAAGGATTCAAGATTCTTTTATGGATTCAAACCAAATCATAAAGCTAAGTGATTTAAATTCATTAAACTTTATCACTTGGCCAGGAAGACTACAGCTGTACTTTGCAATTAAATAAAATATTTAAATGGTTTTCAAAAGGTAAGTACATGTATTTAGAAATGTCATTGCAAATTACAAAAAAAAATGAATGAAAAGAAAGCAAAATTACTCATTAATGCTGAGTTACAGGTGTGATTTCATTTTCATTATCTATGACAGCAAGTTATTAATCAGTTTAAAGTGAACTTAGCTATTGTCTGTAATAATTATAAATGATATTAATAAGTTAAGCATATACTTACAAAACAACAAATCCTATGATGTTAGTTTCTAAAATATTGTCTTCTGTAGAATCTGCACAACTTATACTATATACATGATGTAAAAGACTGGTTCCTGAAATTATAATATTTAAGATTCAGACTGTGCCTCATGATCCAATAAGTTAATGATTATCATTATACTGTAAAGAAATATGTAATGTACAAGCCTAGTAGGGGCGTCCGTGGCCGAGTGGTTAAGGTCGTTGACTTAAAATCACTTGCCCCTCACCGCTTGAGGAAGCTATCCAGCTAGCTTACGGAACGTCGGTGGTTCTACTCAGGTGCCCGTTCGTGCCTGAAATATGCATGGAAGGGCACCTGAGGTCTTCCTCCACCAGTAAAGCTGGAACGTCGCGATATGACCTATACTGTGTCGATGTGACGTAAAACCCAAAAACAAACAAACAAGCCTAGTAATTCAATGCATCATTCTTATCCTTAGACTGATTCCTGCAAAATTATAAATAAAAAAACAACTTTTTATGTGATGACAGACTGATAGATTACACAAATCTACACAATATTGTATAAGTTTTTATCTTACACAAATAACAACACACTGTATATATGATGGCTATCAACTAATAAATGGGATTCTTTATAATAAAAGTTAATGAGAAACAAAGTTGTTTGCATACCAAATGATGTGAATGGTCATTACCATCAAACTCAGAATGAAACCTAACAAACAATACAAGATAAAATATGTACACCTTTATTTCGCACAGATTATTCATTTGAAGCTTCACAAAACAGCTTCACAATATATGTACTTGTTTTGTATAAAAGAATAAAGAAGCTACATACCAGGTGTTAGGGGGACTAGTTTAGTCTTGTTGTCCTGGGATTTCATTCCCAATGGTAGACAGGAATCTGGCAATGCTGGAGCTATAAATTACATATAAATGTATCAGACACAAGGATAGGTATTTATCATCAAATCTAGTTTTATCAATTGACAATATATATTTAAAATTTAGAGCAAATTACACCAATTTCATACTTTTTTTTTATAATCCTCTGATTAACTTGTTTACTAAGAACTATTAGACCTACAAATTGTATATTTGAGTTTTAACAAGTGTGTTACGTGTTTTTTGTTGTTGTTTTTTACAACGGTTTGGTCCAAAATGTGTTTTCATTAATTTAGGAGGATAAATGGAAAAGCAAGAATTTGTGAGAATTGCAAGTATTATATTATAATGCAAGAATGTATTTGTTAATACTGATCAATATTCTAGATAATGTATGCAGCAAGAGTAAAGAAATTATATAAACAGTTACTGACAAAATACAAAAATGTACTCTGAAAAAAATCTCAACATAAATGTAAATGTAAAATTATTGTCAAAAAATTAAAAACCATTCTGAATAATTTGTTTACCTCCAATTTTATATATCTTTATATCAACACAATTCACTTCAAAAGTGTGAGGAAAAAGTGAGTTTTTGAGTCCATAGAAGTATTCTCGAACTTTAGCATCCCTCGACTCGGATCTTGATGTCTGATTTCTTTCTACAACCTTAATTAAATATATCAAATTTAAAATGATGAGCATGAAGAAAATGAAATAAAAAGATAGCATATTTCCAAGTTTAGAGAATTTCTTGAATAAGTTAGATTCTATTTTACACAGTTAACAGAAATATTAATCTGTTTCATAAATCAGTAATCGTATCACATAGATTTACTATATGCAGCGGACCTTCAAGGGTAGGGTGGCCTAATGGTTAAGGTGTCTGCCTCTCATCCCAGGGATCATGGGTTCGAGCCCTACTTGCGTCATGGCCATGTTTCTTCATATGACACCAGTACTGGTTGGTTCCAGGAAGTGGACTCAGGTGATTAATAAAAGCTGCAAGAACTTGTTTCGCTATCAAACTTAAATAAACATGTTTCAACCAACCAAACTAGAAATATGGCTTCAAACTTTATGCAAGGAGAAACCAATAATGCCCTTCCATGCATTACTTCAGATATACCATGGAACATCGTTAACAACCAAGCAACATACTAGCTTAAAAGCTTCCTCACATGTAATTACTTTAAGATTCTGGTAGAATTATAACAGAGTGGCAACTGTGAAGTCATCAAGGCAAACCACTTGGCCACATAACCCTCATTTTCATTTGCCAGTTGTGTTTTTGCCAACCTAAATTATTACTTTTAGAGTCAGAATTCCGGCTACAAGACTGATACTGAAGTAGGTTCTAATAAGATGCAAAATAGAAATAAGAAATGATGCTAAAAATGAATTATGCTGTATCAATCTTTCCACCATTTCTAACCTCTCTTTTATGCAACACACTTCAAAATTATTTTCTAACAAATTGACACTATGCTGTTTATGTTCAGTATTCATGTGAGTTAGATAACAGAGACATGATGATTTTATAATAAAACTCTTTTAAAAATCAACCATAGTATAATGGAAACAAGTCAATTTTACCTTTCTTTAAATATTGTATAAGATATAGCTTTATACATTTTATACACAGCTTTGTAGTTACTTAGTAAATATTCCAACAGAACTTACCCCTCCTGATTTAGGTAGTAGAATGATTTTAACGAAGTCTGGCATATCCCTCTTTAGTTCACTATATAATCTTTCCTGATCCATAACAGCTATCACATCAACTACAAAATAAACATTCTTCTATTATCATAAATAAGACATACGTGTTTTTGTTTTGTTTTGGGTTTTACCTCACATCGACACAGTATAGGTCATATCGCTACGTTCCAGCTTTACTGGTTGAGGAAGACCTCAGGTGCCCTTCCGTGCATTATTTCAGGCACAAACGGGCACCTGAGTAGAACCACCGACATTCTGTAAGCTAGCTGGATAGGTTCCTCACATGAAAGAATCCAAGGTCCCTGACGGGATTCGAACCCACAGCGGTGAGGGGCAAGTGGTTTGAAGTCAATGACCTTAACCACTTGGCCATGGACGCCCCAGACATACATGTATGGGGCCTCCTTGACTTAGTGATTTCAAATGATTTGAACCTCACTGCTGCTTGTTCAAATCAGGGATTACCTATCACTAAAAAAGCAGGAAAGTCACCACATGACCTATACATTGTCTGTATGACTTACACTCAATAAAAAGAAATAAATATATCAGACAGGATCTATCCACATATACATTTACATGTAGACACCCTAATCATACCGAAGTTAAAATTAAAAATATGATAAATAGATGTATTTTGATAAGCATATAATGTAAATCAACTTACCTGTCAGATATTTTCTGTTTACAATTAAGTCAAGAAAAAAAATGTTTTCAAAATTTAATATGAATTATAGAAAGACAGCTGTTATATTGTAAGTCATTAATCAGGTGTCATAAATCTATGCCCATTTCTATCCTGTTTTAATTATCATCATTTTGATAACTAGTTACTACAAATTAGCAAAAAGAAAACAAGCTCCAATGTACTTAAATAAAATTATTGCCATGACCTTTTCATTATTAATTTTTTTTTTTTTTTTACAATTTTTGCAGAATTCATCCTCATCAAATCAAACATTCTTTCTGTGATTTACATTCTACAACACAGATGTACCAGGTATCCTTAATTCAATAGCAGAAATAGATCTTATTCAGAGATATTTTGTATTTAAAATTGAAATTCATAACAGAAAAGTTTGATTACAACATTACCTTCAAATGAGCCGGCAGCATGCTTGAGTGAATCATACCCTGAACCTCTTACCCAACCACCAGTGTTTACAATAACTCCACTATGATTCACTGTAAATAGAAAGTGTATATCTAAATATACTGGCACCAATAATCAAGTTCTTCTGCTATTCAGTACATGTCAGGCCATCCCATATCTACGGTATGTATCCTGACCACATTCTCGACTTATGGCAGATTAATTATTCCAGCTCTTAAAAATTTAATTCTTTTTACATATACAAAAGACACAATCATGTAATTCCAAATTGAAAGTTGGGTAAGTGCAGTTATGTTTATGATCTTAAAAAAAAATAATGATAAAAAATACAGATTTTTTTATTTCTATTTCTGAATAATTGTGAAGTATATTTTTAACCAAATCCATTTTAAGAGATGTAGTAAAAATAAAATATCATATAGTATCTTTCAAATATACATGTATATATAGACCTCGACATACCTTTAATTTCATTTCCTACAGGGTACAAATACTTTCTTTGTAAATCTTACAGAATATGAAACAAACAAAAAATTGTAAGGACTTTCGTTTCCTACATAAACAATTATTTTGATACTATTTGTTCAATGTAAAAAAAGATGCATCATATCACTGTGTTAACAATTTTCTATGTCTTTTACATAGCATTTACTTTGTTAATCTAGCTGTGTTTTTTCTCCTACCTTTTTTAAATTCATCACATTTCATATTCATTACATCAGCTATTCGAGAAACCAGTAAGTTATACAATGTGAGATTTTTAGATGGTGTAGTATGACCGAAATGGAACACTAGTGGTGCACTCTGGGTAAATCCTTCCTCAATATCAGCTGGTCTTTCAACAACATATGCTCCCATTGTACCTGGTATAGATACCTGACCCTGGAAATAAAATAAAACCACTTTAGTTATCTTTGAAAATGCAAAAAGTGTTTATCTTATAAAACTTTGAAAATTTTATATTACTAGTATATTGAATTAAATATATCTGAACTGCCAACTATTGCATTACAATGTGACACATGTGCAGGGATTTTCTGGCCCATTCTGATGACTGATATTGGGTTATGTTCTTAATGCCTTAATTTCAAGGACAAAATTATTGTCATAATGTTGTAATCAAACTTTTCTGTTATGAATTTAAATTTTAAATACAAAATATCAAGAAACCAAAAATAAAATAAGTAAAATTATTGTCATTTTGTTACATTTTACTGCACTGAGCCATTGAAAATTGTCAACTTGCACTCCAAATTGTAATCTGTGCTTATGAGTGAAAAAAGGAGTTTAATTAACCAAATATTTTATTTCTTTGTCTTATCTGATATGTACAATATGTTGTCAGTTTTCCCCAATTTGTCTAAAACATTGTAAAAATTCCCAGTTCTGAGTGTTGGGTTGACTCCTGTGCTGAGAAAAAACCTTGATGTACAATGTACCTCTATAAACCTTTTTTAACAGGTGCATCTGATTACTAAGTGTAAGCAACAATCTGGTGTTACAAAGTTAGATTATCAAGGTTAGAATTAAAGACATTGACAACAAAGCAGATAACAACAGTCATTTGATGACCAATCATTCTGAAAAGCTGGATCTTTACATATGAAATTTGATCTCCTGTGCTTACAACTGCTCTTTCAAGATAGAGGCGGTGTAAGGGGGCGAATGATTTTGTAATTAATTAAAGTGTCTGCCTCAAAACCAAAAGATCGGAGGTTCAAGCCTACTGGGGACACATCCATTTTTCTACACAGGACACAACTGGTTAATTCCAGGAAGTAGGCTCTGAGTGATTAAAAAAAAACTGTTATGTTTTCTTCACAATTTAGCTAAAATCAACTACATTGTACATGTATCATAGTATGATTGTTTAAACTTACTTTATTCTTGATTATTGATATCTTACAGACACCTACTGTGACCTAATGTGTCCCGATACAAGTCATCAACTAGCCAAATGTAGTGACCAGTGTCAGCCAAATGTAATAATTCTCTATCTTGGATGGAAACCAAGTGGCCCAAGGATGAACCAACTAACTGACAAACCAATGTCAGCATAAACTAAATCTTCAAAGAGTAGTAAAAATGTGCTTAAATACACAAACAGAGCTAGGTAGTTGCAATATCCTACTGTCAATATAATTTCAAACAAAACAATGTTATATAAAATACTTTAAATAAATATATAATTACTTCAAAATATCATATAAAAGATGCTTACCTTTTATATTCAAACTAACTAGATGTACATAAAATTTCATAGTAATAAAGAAATCTCACCTGTCCTACATCAAGGTCAACAAATACTGGTGCTCTGCCCATTCTAACACCATAGTTCAACAACATATTACATAATGTAGTTTTGCCAACATCAGAAGGTCCAACAACCAAAAGCTGAAATATATAGTACATTACAATCAAGTAACCATTCTCAGGAGCATATATATGTAATTCATATGTTATATGGACAAGATCCCTTTCAGACAACTGCCTGCTCATATATTCTGACAAATTTGTCTGGGATTTACATCAATATGATTATGTATCAAAGACAGAAAAATGGTTTCAGGTTGAAGAGATGTCATTTGAACATTTTCATAGAAACTAAATGGCAAGTATCTTATCCAGTAAGTTTACTGTATAAGGAATGCTTTCTCAACAACTTCTCTACAACACATCATTGTAAAAGGAGGAGAATAATACCCACAAATATACACACAAACTGATTTATACAGTTTTCATTTTTTTAAAGTTTAAACACATGCATACTACCTATGTCTAAACCTTACTGGAACTTTGGCAAAGTGTGAATTTAGAATTTGTGTGAAAAGGTAATACTGGAATAGGATCCATACTGCATGTGGTCTCTATTTGACCCTATTTACGGTAGTTAAGTTTATACTTATTTATTCTAGTTTGATTGTGTTGGAAGCTATAAGCTAACTGAAACACTCCTGAATCTATTCCTGGAACCAAACAGTACTTAACAATGAGTGTAAAGTTTCTTAGTCACAGAAACAACAGCTTGCCCCTGACGAGGTTTGAACCCACACGGCCCGCAATCTTTAGATTACTAGTCAGACTTGGTTAACCACTTGGCTATGCCTCTATTGTATACTATTTGAATTAAATGCAACATTTGAAGTCTGAAATATTAATAATTTTTCTACACAAATTCAACCACAGAACTTGTTATCAAAGAATCATATAACAAGATGCAATGATAGGTTAAAGTTTAATTGAAAATCAGCACATAGAAACATAGATTATATAGTTTTGTAAATCTATTATCACTAACCCGTGGACCTCTAGTTTCGTCCTTCTCTGATTTCTCTCTCATCTGTTCTAGTGCTACATGTGCGTTCAGGTACACAACCATTGGTGTCTCCTTGGATATATAAGCTACCTCAGTGCGACCTGTCAGGTAAGCTTTGTTAAAGAAATCAATAAAACATATGCGAGAACCATTCACTTATGTTAATTCAACAACTTTAGTATTTGCATATTATCATGCTCATTATGACGTTCTACTAACGTCGTTACACAGGCATATTATTCTTATTTTCTCTCTGATTTTACTTACAGTATTATTTTTGGAACATTCTGACATAAACTATATAAACATCATTATGCCATAGTTAGCACATTCAATTAAACATTTGTTCAAGCAAAAAAAGAACTTAATACTGCCATATAACATGTTATAAACAAACCTCTCTTAATAATTATTCATTTGAAATAATAAATTTGGTAGTAAGCTTATTAGTTAATAGCCATTTTATGGCAATGGATTTAAAAATTTGTTTAACACAAGCCAGATTTTAACCCTAAGCTGGCAAGCAAAGACTGATCCTAACCATGCAAGTTGATGCAACCAATGCTGACTAAGATACGCCTGCACATCAAGGCAGTCTGCACGAAAAAAAAATTATGGTCATAGACATTCCGGCTTTGTCCATCGAAATATCATATAGCCCCTAGCATGAAAATTCTAACAAAAGTTGTGGCCAACTTGCGTAAATCTGGAGAAAATAATGCAAAATGATATCACTTAATTACTGTATTCCTAGAAATGTGCTCGGATACAATATTTCGCGTTTTTCACAACGTCGGCATTTTCGCGGAGATAAACTTTTGCGGATTGTAGTTACAGCGAATTCCGCGAATATTAAGTCGCTACGGCCTAAATTAAAGCTTTTTTAGGCTACGATATAAACCTACATGTATTTGATGTAAAAAAGTGATATTAAAATAAAAATATTCCCGGTCTCCACCCCTGTATATGCGTATGCAGTATAGCTTATTTTCCATTTATGAATGTCACATTAATAATTCAGCAATTCGAGCAATTCATGATTGACCTTAAAATCTATATATAAGTGTATTTCTTAAAGGTAGCAGAAAATATCCCCTTTTTTGTTGTTTTCTTATATTAATTTTTTTGTTGTTGTTTTTTTTTCGGTCCAGACTAACGGTTATGTTGTGCTACTTTAACAATATTGGACTGTACATCGCTTTCATTATAACAACATAACAGCTGTTTATCAATGTAGCACTTGATCGCTATTGTACTTTAAACAAAGGATTACACCTACTCCAATCAAATAAAATCATAGTCATTCAATGAACGCAAACTGTAAATGCTTTTTTACGCCGTGACAAGCAAATAACGTGAATAAGCATGATAATAAGTAATAATTGGACATTTAAAAAAAATGTTATGTGGATGATAGGTATATTGAAGCAAGCTTAAACATGAGGTGGTTTAGTAAGGAGATGAACTTTACATAATTGTTTACACATTTCTATAGAACTTGTGTTTCTATGTTATTGTGTAAGTAGATTATAATAAATATTCTAAACGTTTAAGTTTTTATTTGGTTGAAGCCAGAAATGTTCGCGGATTTGTTATCAGTGACATATTCGCGGCTATAAAGATTCGCGTAATCATGCCTACCGCGAAAAGCGCTAACTTAAAAAGCGCGAAATCTTTTCTAGGAATACAGTAACATTTATTTCTGCTATTCTTAGACAGGGTGTACAGTTGACTTAAACTCAAGGATCAAATGATTAAATTTAGCCCATGACGTCATAGCTTATCCGAAAAAAAAATTAATATGTATATCCCTCTTGGTCATTATAAATACAACGGGTGTAAATGATGCTATATATTATTTAATTTGGAAAATTTCGTCCCAATACCTTGAAAAAAAAATCAGCATTTCCCTAAGCCATTGCATATGTATTTTTTCCGGATCTCAAAACATTGCTAGACTGTTGGACTACGCTCCCTACATTTTATGCTAGCCAGAACAGAACTTTACTAGAATGGGGCTTGGGCTTTGCCTATTTTTCGCAGACTGTCATGGTCTTACTATTCAGTCAGTACATTCATGTATTTTGATACTGTCCCTAGAAATGAGGATTTGCTGTATCCAAATTGAAAGATGGACATGTCCATTAAAGATATCTAGCATGGTTTAAAGTCACAATAATGTGTTTACTGAAACAAGTAAACAAAATAACTAAATTCAATAAACAACATGAAAAGTCTCATGTATTTTGGTGAACGTATTTAATAACTCACAACTGATGATTTTTGTAAATATTAGGGATGTAATCACAGAATCAAATATTCAATTCAATCAACCAAGACAATATTTATTTGTTAATATTTATAAAATAAATAAATAAGAATTTTTTAAAAAAGGATATTTTGATTTGGCAGCTATGCCATGAAAATACAGCAACTTTTGAGCCAGCATTGAAGGAATATTTTCGCCCAGAAGTCAGTTCACTGCCAAATATCTCTGCCTTGCCATTGATTAACTACAAAAATACAACAAAGCACATTTCAAAAGAAAGTTTACTTACATTTATGACCAGCTACTAACATTATATAGTCATATGTACCTGAAGAACGTTTTTAAAACAAAGCGTCAATGAATGACAATTGATCAAATATAAAATGACTTAAACATTTAAAAACATGAGCATAAACTAAAGAAAAGATAATGTGCTGAACATAACTGTTCTAACCTTGTATATAATATACAAAACTTATGAGACCATATCTTGAACATGTTTGTATTAGAGATCATGTCTAGAACATATTTTATAGATGACACACTACTAATATAAGCAGGTATAATTTTGATAAGTATGCTGGTATTTCTAGATGGTATTAAAGTATTGCAGCACAGATAGAAGGTATAATGTATATCGGTAATACCGGGTACCTATGCTAAATTCACTCTTTACCTCCAATTGAACAGTTGATCCAGATTCTACTTCAAACCTCAGCTCAGACTCTTTATCTAGCTGGAACTCCTCTACTCTCTGAAATATAACATATGAATTATTAATAACAAGAACCGTTTGAACCGGGTGATGCTCCCCGAGAAGGTTCTGGACACAGGAAAGTATAAAAAAAATGAAGTTATGTCCCGAGTAAAATTCAAAGTGTAAAAATGAACAAAAGGCAATAACTCCAAAATTAGACTAGGCTTTATTTAGGTTCTTTAAGCATTGCAGTTCTATCTAATTATATCTAGCTACCTACAAAGTTTCATGTTGATATCTCTAATAGTTTTAAAGTTATGTCCCGGACAAAATTCAAAAAGTAAAAATAAACAAGGGCAATAACTTCAAATAAGGCAAGGCAGAGTAATGATTCTTAAGCACTGCACTTCCACCCAATGAGACCTATCTATCTACAAAGTTTCATGTTGATATCTCTTATAATTTTAGAGTAATGTCCTGGACAAAGTTCAAAGTATCAAAATGAACAAACGGCAATAACTCCAAAAGTGGGCAAGACAGTGTTACAGTTCTTGTGCACTGCAAACCTACTCAATGAGATCTATCTACCTACAAAGTTTCATGTTGATACCTCTTATAGTTTAGAGTTATGTCCTGGACGAAGTTCAAAGTGAGAAAATAAACAAAGGGGGATAAATAAAAAAGTAGGCAAGGCAGAGTTACGGTTCTTGTTCACTGCACACCTACTCAATGAGATCTATCTACCTACAAAGTTTTATGTTGATACCTCTTATAGTTTTACAGTTATGTCCTGGACAAAGTTCAAAGTGTAAAAATAAACAAAGGGGGATAATTCAAAAATTAGGCAAGGCAGAGTTACGGTTCTTGTGCAATGCACACCTATTCAATGAGATCTATCTACCTACAAAGTTTCATGTTGATACCACTTATAGTTTTAAAGTTATGTCCCAGACAAAGTTCAAAGTGTAAAATTAACAAAGGGGGATAATTCAAAAATAAGGCAAGGCAGAGTTACGGTTCTTGTGCACTGCACACGTACTCATTAAGATCTATCTACCTACAAAGTTTCATGTTGATACCTCTTATACATTTAGAGTTATGTCCCGGACAAAGTTCAAAGTGTAAAAATAAACAAAGGAGAAAATTCAAAAATTAGGCAAGGCAGAGTTACGGTTCTTGTTCACTGCACACCTACTTAATGAGATCTATCTACCTTCAAAGTTACATGTTGATACCTATTATAGTTTTACAGTTATGTCCTGGACAAAGTTAAAAGTGTAAAATAAACAAAGGGGGATAATTCAAAAATAAGGCAAGGCAGAGTTACGGTTCTTGTGCACTGCACACCTACTCAATGAGATCTATCTACCTACAAAGTTTTATGTTGATACCTCTTATACTTTTAGAGTTATGTCCCGGACAAAGTTCAAAGTGTAAAAATAAACAAAGGGGAATAATTAAAAAATTAGACAAGGCAGAGTTACGGTTCTTGTGCACTGCACACCTACTCAATGAGATCTATCTACCTACAAAGTTTCATGTTGATACCTCTCACGGTAGGGAATCACGTGACTTTTACGGTTACGCGTACAGACAATATGGCGGCCTAAAAACCTCGCTTCACATGCGTTTTTCAGGTAATTCTTTATTATATCCCTTTTACTTACATACGAGACCTGTTGCAACCTACGCGGAATAAAGAATTGTTGCCGCCTATACCTTAGTTTCCACCCCTGTGCTCATAGCTTTTACAAACACTCAAAAATTCAACAGAAATTTTCAATGTGAACAATTATATTTCGGGTAACATTCACGCAAAATTTGTATTTTTTATGAATTTGTTTAAACTACGTCGAGTTAGCAAAGAGAAAATGTTCATAGAATTTCTTTATTTGAAAATGTAAATATTAGGCATGTTAAATGTTGACTGGTCATTTTCTATTCCAATACATGAGAGAAAAATGATTTGGGTAACTCCCACGCGTATTTTTATTGTTGATAACTCCCACGCACTATTTTATGGGAAAGCAATATCTATGCAGGTTATAGCCTAGATATTGATTGAACAAAATCATGATGCATTTAGCATCAAACTTTCATAGAATTTTGAATAATATTAAAAGTACCGCAAATAGGTCCTTGATAGAAGTAACCCAGCAGGCACATCAACGGTGAACAACGTTGAAGTATGGTCAGATTTCAATATTGAAATAACGTTAGACTTATGTGCAAATTCGAATGTTTAAAAAACGTTGAAGTTCAACATTGGCACAACGTTGAAGTTTCAATGTCATTTCAACATACTTTAATTCTAATATAAAGCAAAGTACTGTAACAGAGTTTAACAAAAAAATCAAGACACTATTAAATACTTCAGCTATTTTATTTCAAAACTACAGTTCAAGTGTTCAAGTTCAAACGATTTAAGAAGTCCTTTTAGTTTAACAATTAAGCTACCATCTGTTCCAATCTACCACTAGTACTTCTTCTAGAGCTCTCTGGGTATGTCTTAAGTGTTTCATGATGGTGTTTGAATACTTCTACTGCTTCTGCGAATAAAATAAGAAGTTACTAGTTAAAATTGACTTGGTCAATCTCAAATTATAATATATAATTAATCAACTTAGTGATTTGTTTTATCTTAAAATGCTTATCTTCTAAGATTTACATAATAAAAAAGCATAGAAATTAAGATACAGCTGAAGTTTCATATTGACATTAAATTATGTACAAAAAACAACAAAAACAGTCTGACCTATGATTGGTAAGAAAAACTGCTCCCATCAGTTACGTCAGCATTTTCCCAAGAACAGTGCTTTCAATGTTAAATTTATGGTATAGAAGCTACAGCTGTAATACTCTAAATTTCAGCCAGGACCAGGATCTAGAATATAAAATAGACTTATTATTCCCTATAAATCCACGGCAATTAAACTTAAAATTTAACACTCATCTTTATTATTTAACCTCAAACAGTTTAACCAATAATTGTTTTGATAATGCAATGGATTTAATGTATTTTTCAAACTAATTCACATTTAATTTTACTATCACTAAGTTATAAAATTAATACAGCTAAATTGACGAATCGTCTTGGGGCGTTAATTATATGGGGCGATCAACACTTCATCTGCTTATAGGTTACAATAATATGATAAATAAATTTCAAAAAGGCATGGCTTGTAAAATCATAAATTGCCAAGGACATTAATAACTTCGCGTAAGGCCTACCAAACCCAAATCATTCAATTAGGTCGCGTTTTGATACAAAAATCTAAAATATTAGAAGGAGGTTTTATTAGTAAAATTACAGTTGTCATTTTTCATATTTTGCAGATATGGAAGGTTCCATCTCGGATATTGTTTGTGATAAATGTGGGAAACATTTCATTCACGGATAGGTCTCAAATATTGACCACATGAACAGTCTACACGGCACAGGACCTTATAAATGTTGTGGTAAAACATTTTATAGCCCTCCAAATCGGAAACGTTACGGGTTTTACTGTTGATATTAAGATGACATTCAAACATAAGTCCTCTTGATTTTATTACCTAGTTTGTAAAATAAAAGACCCATTCTAATATTCTTTAGGTTGTTTTCTTTTATGCTTTAGATTAAAAAATAACACAACATAATAATGTTAAATACAGAAACTAATTTGAAAAAAGTTGGTTACATAAAAGACTAAGTGATAAAATGACTTGAATGTCTTTAAAATCTTAACATAAAATGCCATACCTGTCACGTTTTGATTTGCCACAACATTTACAAGGTCCTGTGCCGAGTAGCCAGTTTATGTGGTCATTAAGACAAATGTTGTCCAACATTATCCACAAACAATATCCGAACTGGAACCGTCCATATCTGCAAACTATGAAAAATGACAACTGTAATTGTGCTTTAACTGAAATCGACCTCTTTCTTATATTTGAGACTTGTATTTTAATTTCTGCGATTAATTCATCTATATCGAAACTTCATTTAATATATTCACGTGAGTATATATTTTGCTTTCCATAGGGGCTTTATTCTATCCAGGACCTTTTGGCGGTATTTTTAATATTATTCAAAATTCTTTGAATAATTAAGGCTAAATGCATCAATCATGATTTTGTTTAATCAATATCTAGGCTATAACCTGCATAGATATTGCTTTCCCATAAAATATTGCGTGGGAGTTATCAACAATAAAAGTACGTGTGGGAGTTACCCAAATCATTTTTCTCTCATGTATTGGAATTGAAAATGACCAGTCAACATTTAACATGCCTAATATTTACATTATCAAATAAAGAAATTCTATGAACATTATCTCTTTGCTAACTCGACGTAGTTTAATCAAAGTCATAAAAAATACAAATTTTGCGTGAATGTTACCCGAAATATAATTGTTCACATTGAAAATTTCTGTTGAATTTTTGAGTGTTTGTAAAAGCTATGAGCACAGGGGTGGAAACTAAGGTATAGGCGGCAACAATTCTTTATTCCGCGTAGGCTGCAACAGGTCTCGTATGTAAGTAAAAGGGATATAATAAAGAATTACCTGAAAAACACATGTGAAGCGAGGTTTTTAGGCCGCCATATTGTCTGTACGCGTAACCGTAAAAGTCACGTGATTCCCTACCGTGACCTCTTGTTGTTTCAAAGTTATGTCCCGGACAAGAAAAGGGGACGGACGGACGGAAAGACGGACGGACAAGGCGGCGACTATATGCTCCCCCGAAATTTTTGCGGGGAGCATAATAAAATATATATATACACACATTTATCAAAATTATGATAAGCAGCATATTTATGCATAATTATTTCAAAGTCCATCCATGAATGACAAAACTTTGTACAAAAGAAGACCATCAAATGTCACTTACAAGTGTGACCTTCACCTTTTGACAAGACACAAATACAGGGCTCATCCGGAAGGGCGATTCAGGCGAAAACTTCGCCGTGTATATTCCAATTTCGCTCTTCCGATTGATCAAAGAGAAGTCAACATCGCCGATAAAATCTTAATTCCCAAAAAGTAATTACTTAGCGATGTAAAGAGCAGAGATTG